AATGAATGGAAGGGGAGTGGGGAGGACAATGACTGAAACCTTTTTCACTGTCAAGTTAAACATAGAGTCAAGGGAGGCTCTACATGAGTAGAGTATAACACTACACTTTCCAATCACTACTCTAGAATTTCATTATTGCAGACAGAAAAAAGGTTAAAACTGCAACTATAATGTCAGACTCATCCAAAGAGTCTCAAGGAAATACTCAAGGGACAAACCAGGATACTGTACAGGCCTTTCTGATACACCACTTTCCGTTTTGTCTCTACTTTACTGAAGGAATTTAAATTTGCATTGACTAGAAACAAAACATGTAACAGAAAAAAGCTACATGTTCTTTGTGAACTGTTCATGTACTCAAAAATGCATTACTGAATTATAAACTTTCCTGCACTCCAATGCTTTGCTAAAGCTGGTAAAATGGAACCAAATCACCTCTTCAATGGATTTGGTCCCCTTCAACCAGCTGTAGCTATGCATTGATCACTACAGGAGTTCTCATCTTTCTCAAACATTAAGTCTGCTCACAGTAATTATACAGTCATCTCTGCTGTTGAGTTCAATTATTCTAGGCAGTTAAAGATGGAAGGTAACCAGGACTGTAATAAATTCCATATTCCAAAATTTCAAGGCTGTATTTGTAAATAAACAGCTACTGGTGTTTAAATATTCTGTCCACATTCAGTGTGAAAATTGATTTCTATCATTTATAAAGACAGGTAAATAGTGAAATAAATACATTTTGCAATGATTTATCGTCTGTTGTATTTTTCAAGTCTACTGTCCTTCGTAACAGAACTGACCAAGAAAGATGACCAAAAGCAAGCAATTAAGAACAATAATGGCAATGGAGGGGAAGTCTGCTTTCTGAGCACCTCTCTTGGGTGTCATGTCCAACTCCCCCTCACCTTTTTTTTTATTTGCACAAGGGAGGAAACTCCACACAGTAGGAACTGTATTTGTCATCTTTCACATGCTGGACATATTATTTACTATTTAAAGATAATAAATTTCTCACTGACATCAACAGCTACAGGCTTATCTGCCACCTAATTATAGGTCTGCTCATGGAGATTATATTCTTTCTCCAAATAAAAAACTTGAACGTAAGTCTTCTTTGAAAGCATTTTCTGACACAATACTTTAATAAGAGGTTTTAGAAGCATGCCTTTATTACTCAGCTTCAACTAAGCTTCAGCCTACATCTACTGTTGGCACTAAAAGTATGAAAGCAGAAAATTCCTTCCATTGATTTAGAAAATCATTGTACAACTCCAATTGCCTCACAACTTGTCTCTGTGAGGACCTCAATGACAATACAGCACAGAAGTCCGAGATACTAAGCACAGGTGAGAAACCCCACCTCACAAATATGTTGCTAGAAAGAGTTTGAAATTCCACTGCTGAGCTGTTCAAACCATCTGCAAGTTTAAAAACAAGGAGAGATCTACTAAGAGACAACCATGGGGAAAAAGTGTAATTTAATTTTAAACTACAATCTCCTACTTCCTAGTTCATGAACATAAAGATGACATACTCCTTGCTACTGGCCAGCAATATATTAAATCTTCAACTTACCCAAGTATTTTAATTTCTTATTTAAAGACCAGCACAATTTATCACTCTAAAGAATTAGTTGCACGCATGTGCAAAGTCAGGTCAGCTCTAAAAGCAGCCTCTATTTCAGATGCTAGCTGCAGTGTGAATAAAGCTCTCTTCACAAGATACAATGCAAATCTGAAACTAACTGGGGCAACGGGTATAAAATACGCCTACACTTAACAGTCGTGTCTTCAGCTCAAAAATCTGAAATCACAGGTATGCGAATAGATCAAACATAACTAAGAGCTGATAAAACAGAAAAAATAACCAATCTGTTGAATATTTTCAAATTTTACTCTCCTTTTTTCTGTCTGAAAAATCTCATTAACACTGAAGAGGCAAAGTCTGCCAAGCTTTGAGGTTCACAGCACTTTGAATAAAATCCAAAATAAATGCGCTTTTGGTATGACTGGCTCAAGTTAAAAATCATGAACAAGAACCCATGTATTAAATAAAATCTTAACTTCCCCACATCTCATTTCCAATTTATTTTTAGCTTTATCTCCCATGCACAAGTTTAAACCTACAGACAACATAAACTGAGTGGTGTCCAATTTACATTTCAACATCACATATGAGCAGGAAAACCAAAACATTTGTTTCAATACCAATTTGCAAAGTATGAACAGAAGCAAATTATTAAAAGTAGAAATATTTCACTATAATAGGATGCTCTCCAAAACACACTAAACTTTAATTTCTGGAAAACACTGCCAAACTGGTATGGAAGATTAAGTGCTGAGAAATATCTAAGCTATTTGACATAAATTGCTAACTTTCTTATTATATTTATCTAATATCCAAATGTTTAAAATAGAATATAAATGCTACTTTTCATATAAAAATTAAACTTCCAAATGATCTCCTCAGCACAGTTTGTGTGATTTTTAAATTGTTTTTTCTTGGAGATCTATTTCCCTGCTGTTAGTAAAGGTCAGAACTCAAGCGAGAAGTAGAATGGGTTTTGCACTGAAAATGGAATTGGTTCCAAATACTTACTTGATATCCACTATAAAAAAAAACCTGTAGAAATCTGTTACCTTATTCTGGTATCCACACACTTAACATACTAATTTCTTTTATCAGTAATTATGAAGATGGATGAGGACTTCAACAATACTTACATACATAGTATGCTACTTATATAAATGCAGATATATACACCCACATGCATATATACTTATATACATATCTGAATATAACTTATAAAATAACATTTCTTTATATATTTATATACTTGACCTTAGGGAGATTTAGTGCACTGTATTCCGTATAAGGCACCACAGACTGAAGCCACAAAAAAATGCAGTTTATGTGGACCAGACAAGCTCAGATTCAGAAAGAAAGGTCCTTAAGAAAGGTTTCAAGGAGAATATATTATGTTCTGCTTGTGACCCTTACCAGCTATGAGCTAAAGTTCAGGTGGTTATTTTTAACAGTGCTTTAAATAGCTTTTGCATAGTGCATTTAACAGATTAGTGATATCCATTGCTCTAAATCAGACTAGAAAAACAAAAGTAGCAAATATTCATTCAGAAAGAGGCCAGTGGTAGAACCACAGAAATGATGAAATAAATGTCCATCAATAGAATCTTGAAGAAAATAAAACTTATCTCCTAAATGAATCCAATTATTATAATGATGTTTTGGCCAATCAAAAAAAAAGTTAAAAAACCTAAATCAAGCTATTAAAAAAAAATATTTCATTAATTTATTCCCAAGCTGATGTGTAAAATATCTAATGCAATGAACAAATAAAATTACTACTTCTGTGATGAAGAAAAAATTCCCTCTTTTTACATGTTTCAGAAGTGCTCAGATATAACTGCAACCAAAAAAGCAGATATCTAACAGCTTTAGATATCTAACTTTCACATGCAAGTGAAAACCTATGCGTGGGGGGGGCCTACATGGGGTTCAAATCACTAATACTGGAAATATTTTCACATTCTTCTAGTAAAAGCTTTTGTAAAGGAGAGAACTCTGGGAAAAACTGCACTATTCCTCACGTTCAGCCAACTCTTAAACAGATGCAGTCTGGACTACAATTTGCATTCCTCCATTAAAGAAAAAGCCTCCAGCTCCTCCAACATTCACCCACAGAAAAATCTCCAGCATCCATACAAAGAGCTTTTTTACACACGCTTTCCCTATATCTCACAAGAGTCTATGGAAAGCACCACAGAACAAAAAACTATCAAAAAATACTCCATCTAAGTAACTGAAGTCAGGAAACAGTACTACTGGATAATGATATTATGTAAATAATGGAGATTTCACATTAAGTGAGTAAGTTACCAAGACAGACTTGAAATAATTGCCTGCTGATGCCAAAAATAATCTCTCTTCACTAGGTCCATGACATGTTCTCTTATAGACCTTTTACAAGCACTGTAAAAAACTGTAAACATATTTATTGTTCCTGTCAACACTTCCGACCACTTCTACTTTGCAAAGCATGATTCCATTCCATATACATACATAAATGATCGTGTTCACGTTTTAACGCTCACTCTTGATAGCTATGTTCTAAGAGACTAACCCAAATTTTATTCCCAGACATTAAGATGCATCCTTATTTGTCCAGTTTCACTCAACTTAAAGGTACCAAATTCAGTAGTTAAGTTAAGCAACATATTTCTTATTTCATGTAAACTACACCAAATTCTCCACCACGTGATTAACATATAAGTCTTGCTAGACTAACAGCTCTGAAGAATACCATTTATCCAAAACGTTATAAGCAACCAGCAACGGAACAAGTTTTCAATTCAATTCTATCTATGCAATAGTTTTTGAAATCTACCTTAACTGAAGATTGAATGTAGAGGTATAATATGCAGCTAGTGCAAAAGGATTATGCTTCAACACTGACATTTTCAGTGCTCTCTAAAGCTGAAATGAGAAATTCCTTCTGCACACACTTTTAAGAAAACAAAATTAATTGTTATATTGACAAATACCATTTAATGCAACAATCCTAACATTGTTTTATAACTGCATGGTACCTTAATAATTATTCACAAATATGTACTTCTTAAAAACTCAAATCCCTTCTCCAATTCCAATATCCAAGAATATAAACAAATTTTACAAGTCCTATCTTAAGATCTTATTTAGTAACTTATTTATTGAAACACCTATTGGCAAAGTTTTACAGTCACTATATTTTCCAGGGGTTCAGTTACCTGAATACAGCATTAAACTCAGCAGACTAGGAGCTTTATTCTACTATCTTCTCAAGTATTAACAAGACACATATCTAAGCAACATAAAACTTTTAGAAATAACTGCAAACAAGTTGAAGCATATTTTTAAATATACCATAACTTGACGTTCCCATGCACTGGTTTTCCTTTTGCAAATGAAAATTATAATATTTAAAAACAAATGTTTACCTAGGGTTTCCTCGTAGTGCAGCATGGTGAAGAGCATTAAACCCATTGTTGTTGGTGATAGTAACATCTGCTCCAGCTTCTAACAACACAGCAAGGATGTCATCACGCTTTTTACTTATTGCATCATGAAGTGGAGTGTCACCTTCAGAATCCTAAAATGAGGAACAACTTACATCAAGATTTACATGCATCCACATTAAAGAAAAAAGATGCTTAAATATCTCTAGGAAAATTGACAACAAAAACACAAAACAGCTCTTCAGATCAAAAAGCCTTGCTATACAGCAGAGTTTAGAGCAAGCCACTTTCTGAGCTTGCTTTGGATTTTGCAAACCCTTCAGTGAGTTGTCCTACCCAGGGTTTCAGTCTTCTGTGATTACACTACTACCAGAACTCAAGCATGCTTTGTATTTGATAATACTGAAGACACTGGTATTGACATCAACATCTCTATGCCTCATACCCAGAATGAGTTGATGCCTAAGTTACAATCCATAAGTAACAGAAGGACAGCAAAAAAAAATTAACACAACAGAGAGGAGACTAGCCAGGAAGAGGGAAGAGAGGGAATTCTGAGTGATGAAGGCTAAGACTGAGCCAGCAATTAAGCATGTAGAAGACAAGACCAAAAGGACAGTGTGAAATAAAAGCATAACCAAACCAAATAAAATGAAGTCCAAGTAATAAACTTAGGCACATCTGTTGTTTTTACTGAAGCAATGCCATAAGCAATATTAAACTTTTAAACTTATTATGGCTGATACCAGATTACAGTACACAAGGTACATGAAAATATTTAAATGCATAATCCACAAATAATTTGTATTTTTAGCTTGATGTTTTATTTTTCAAATATCCCAAGTAAGGGAAAATACTATTTACTGTGACAGACGCATTTTGTACATTACTTATTCAAGGACCCAAATGGGCTGAAAAGGAATGCCCTAAACCAACAATGAGAAAACACATCCATTTAAGCTTACTTGCTGCTTTGTAGGCAAACTCTCTAGATTTATGCTTGCAGCCTTTTGTCACTGACACTGAGTCAACTACAAACTGACTAACACAGGAACTGAACATTTTGGCAATACACTAATACAAACCCTGAACTAGCTTGCCAGAACTTAAACTATGTAGCTGTTATTTGGTTTAACTGATCATATTTACTGTTTACAGACTGCTGTGTTTCTGTTTACACAGTGAATTGGCTTGAGTAGAGTGCTGGCCAGTTATATCCCAGTAATGTCTCAGTCTGACTCCCCTGTGCTCTCATCCACCAAATGCACCGCCAACTCACATTGGCGCATTATGGTTCCTCAGCGCACACACAGGATCTAAAATTCACTGTCTTCAATAACAGTTGTATTTTCCTGATGGAGTTTCATAGCACCATTCTACTGAATTTCTTGTGTAACTTGAAGTGAGACATACCCATTTTGGTTACCCATATACATCATTATATGATATACAGTCGCCCTTTATTGGGCTCAACACATCAGACTCCTTTTAATATAAAGGAGTTTAATAACTCCTTTGATATATCAAACTGCTATTTAATAAAATAAGTGGATGTTAGCTGCCTAACAGCTCAGTCTCATCAAGATTAAGACAATATCAACAAAAGCAAGTGGAAGCAGACAAAAGAACAATCACTACATCCACCAATCTCAATAAAAGTTTCCTCATCTTTTCTTATGCAGATATAGAACTTAAAAAAACATCACTGATTATTGACATGGGAAAACAAGGGGGTAAACATGTTACTACTGTGTAACTTGATTTGCCCAGGACATTGCAGCTTTTTCTGTGCTGCAAACCCCTTCAAACTTACCAGTTCTGCTGTTTTACTAACGCGCTGCATGCGGCTGCATTCAGCTCATGCAGAATATGGATGCCTGCTTATTTAATAGCAGGTTACCAGTCTACCCTCTCAACAGGAGGTTGCACTCACATGTCACAGCTTCTGCCACATTCATTCCAGACAAAACTCCTTCTGAAACTATGGTACTTGAGGTCCTACGCACGAGGGCTTTTTAAATAAAAGGCTAAACATTTTTAAAAGACAATCTGGCTAAGTAATTCTATCAATGATTGGTCAATTGTGAAAAAAAGGTTTATTTTAATGAAGCGTTCCACAGTATCATCAGCCAAAAAGTGCAAAGCTGTGCTTTGCAGAAGGAGTGAACAGCTGTGGATTTGATGGAGGATGAATTAATCTGGAGAGAAAATGAACAATTAGAGATACCTACAGCCTGTGAAAATACCAATTAATGTCAACTGGCTAGAATAAATCAGGTGCCTATCTAGCTGTCACAAAACCAAATAGATTTAATAGCATTTTTACTACAGCTGATCACATGCTGAGGTAGAGGTTCGGACAGACAACTTCTCAAGTACCATCTTTTCCAATCTTATTTTCCATTACCTATCACCCACACACAGCAAATCATAAAATTCAGTAGCTAAAAAGTGAGTCTACACTCATATTTACTTTACCTGGAGACTAGGATGGCAGCCAAAGTCCAGTAAAGTCTTCACAACTTGCAGATGACCTTTGTTGACAGCAATATGAAGTGGAGTCTGCCTACGTTTGTTGCGAGCATTCAGATCTGCACTGCCTCGGTGTAGAACTTCGATCACTGCACCCTCATCTCCAAAGGCTGCATGATGGACAGCCCTGTCTCCATCTTTGTCCTGAAGTAGAACAACAGTTTTACATTTCAACACCTAATTAAAACAATTCTGCAGACCACAGCGATAGAGGATGAAAAGTCTGCTTGTATATAAACACACATACTCTATGACATCGGATGTTTTATATCATGTGCAACTATTACCCTGAGTCTTTGTGTGATGCGCTCATAAGTAACTCGAATAGATCCATGTGGGCTTCTACTACAAAACAACCACTATTAAAAAACAAAACCAATCAACAAACCAACAACCCCACCCCCTGAATAAAACCCAACCCCCAAAACAGACTACACTCAACAACCCAAGGTGAGGCTTCCTATAACCGAGGAAGTGCTACAGATTCAATAGCATGGCGTAAGATGAGAGAATTATCTTGTTCATGCCTTTATTTTTTTTAATTATGTATCTTAGTTTTCAGTTAATAAACTTTTTCCAAAGGAAATTTTGTATTGATATCAAAATTAATTTGAAGTTTTGATCCATAATGATGATTCACATCATTAAAGCTCTGATTAAATTAATTTTGTTTCTATTTCATCCAAACTGAAAATAAAGGCTTGAAAGTCATACAGTTGTCAATGTAGGTTATTTTACAATATAAAAGTGTGGATTGTGCTACATAAAATATTTTAAAATACTAATCAAGTGATTTCAACATTAATGACAGTATATAAATGCTGAAAGGGGAAGGTACGCAACCGTTTCCAATGAAGTAACTTACATAAGCTAGTTTTTAACTAAGCTTTTGTACACAGTGGAATATTACTATATATTTGTAAGATTTAACTCCGACAACAGAGAAATACTGAAAATTGTAAGGGCATTTATACTCTGCAGCAATGACTGGAAGTGTAAATATATCCAATTTAGTTATAAAGCAGGTGAAGTAAGGTTTTTGATCCATTGCTTCCGTGTCATAAACCACAACAGTGCAGTAAATTGACTACAACTTTGCTGCCTGCATAGTGGGATGACTCTGCTGTGTCATCACATCACTAATTTGCAGCCAGCTGACATTTTTTACAGCCTAAAACTTATAATCAATAATCTAACCATATTAGATATTATTAACATTATAATATTGCAATTATATAATTAATTTGGAATATCATATTGACTTAAACAAGTTAGTTACATTAAAAGGCTTGAAAATTCAAATTAAAATCCCTGAAAATATTTTTACTGCTAGTGTTTCAATACTTCTGAAGCCTGAGAACACCCAACCCTTGACAATTCCACTGCTAGCTGATTTCCAGGTGTATCACCTTGAAGCAGTTTAAGCCATGCTTCTACTTCCTTCTCTAATGCTTCTAATCCTTCCTTTTATCAGAGAATAAAGAACCAGTCCACCACTTGATTAACACTGCAGCTTTAATCCCACAGCACAGATGAAAAGCAGCTTAGTCGAGTTTGCAGCAGTGTGTGCTGTGTACGGCACTCAAAGCACGACTTCCAAAATGATGCTACTTCACAGAAATCAGACCACAGCAAGAATATACTTCATCAAACCCAAGCTATCCTTACAGTTTCACAGAAAACCTTTATAAAGTAATGGTGTATCTATGAATACAAAAATTTAGTTCCAAGAACTACATCATTCCTTCACTAATGTTCTAACATATTGTAACTTCTGTGTATCTATTACAATATAACACTAAATGCCCAAGCATGCCAAGTTATTTTTCTGTTATGCAAACAATGACCGGGCACACTATTAACTACTAAGCATTCTGTTTGGCTTTAATTTATATTCTTCATAAGAAAAATTAGACAAATCCTTCTTGTGCTTCACAAAATGAGCACAGGCTGCAATGTCAGTGCATTCTGTGTAAGTAAATGAAGCAAAATCCACTCAAAATGTTGTTTGCTACAGTACACTGATAATTTCCTCACAATAATTAAAAAAAACCCACAACAACTAAAGAAAGAAATCCTTCCATTTTGAAGGCAAAGTTAAAATAAAAAACAAAACTGTAAAACTGGAAGCAGAGTTGCCATTTCCTATCCAAAGGTACTGTTATTACTTTCTGTTCAAACTTGCTTTGGTTAAGAATGGAAAGCCTTCCCCTAACTGATCACTGTATATAAAAAGCATGGCAAGTATCTGAAGTCAGAGATGCAGCATCCAACAATAGCTTTTTCTCTGAATGCCCCAGACAGTGTGCAGGCTATTGCATTTGACTGTTGAAGTTAAATAAAGGAAATAAAGAAGGTACTTCATCCACTACAATCACATACTAGCTCTACAGAGCTCTATTATATTAGCATTATATTGCACTTAATTAAAGGTGCCAAAGAACTAGATATTGACCTTCTGTAATATTTTTAGTAGGAGGTCAATTTGGGAACATAATAACAGGGAGAAAAGTTTTTTCACTCTGACACTTAAAAAGAAGACAATTCCCATAGAATTGCTATTTCTGTATGTAGCAAAGTTCAAAACTTAAAAGAGACACAATGTATATTTTTAAATATTTAGGTTACCTCTGCTTCTACATCCACATTCTGTTTCAGAAGCAACTTCAGAATGTCGACGTGGCCATTCTGACTAGCAGCTTGCATAGCTGTGTGTCCAGCACATTGTCCATTCACCTGGAAGAATATCAATGCTTTGAGGTAAGTTTCAAGATACACACAGACACCTGTACCTTAGCAGTATACATCCAAGGGTATTAGAAAAATTGACAGCACACATATGAAAGTATCAAATGACCAAATTTTAGAGAGATGCCTTTCTGGCACATAGAGATATTCTCCTAGGTCTTTATTTCATTTCTATAGCATGAGCTATAGAAATTGAAGAGACTGAAGCTATAGAGCTTCAATCAGCTTCAGAGATTGAAGGAAAGAAGCAAGAAATGGATTTATTTTGAATGCTAAGACCTTAACAATAGCTGGATTTAAAACTTTGGGCTACCGTAAAGGCAAGATTTTGAGAACAGGTCTCAGAATAATACCAGTCCTCTGCTCTACTGTATATTTAACCTCATTTTCTAATTTATGGCAACAACAGGAGTCAGTCTGAACAAAATGCCATGTTTTGTATAATCTTGAGCTACAAATCAGTCCTCAGAACTGCAGGAGTTTAGTCTCTTATTTGCAAAAATTACCAACGTTGCAGTGAGAAAAACATCCGATTGTGATTTAAAAACATATTCCCTGAACCAAGTCCTATGACTCTTAAGCATTTTCTTTTAGCCTTTTCACTACTAGGTGATTAGACGAGTTGGTAAAAGGCATCTGAGAAAAAGCAGATTAGACAATGTACTCTGTGAGTTAAAAAAAAACAGAAACAACAAAAGATCTCCAAAATCAACCCTCCTTCCTTATATACCCTTGAACACCCTTTATTATTCATGAGTGTTTTGTTCTTTGTCCCAACTCCACCAGAGACTGGAAGGTATTTTAATTCATAACACATAAAATCTCCGCAGTGAAAAAGGGTGTGAAGGACCCTCTTCACACACACTCCCAACACATTTCACTGGACAACAAAAAGAAGAGACACTGGAACCAGATGTACTACTTCTACACAAACACATCAGTGATGACCAAAGAGTATCTAAGAAAGCTTCACTTCCACTAGTATTACAGATCCCCAGAACTAGAACACTCACATCGACATCTGGTCTTTTTAGAAGGTCTTCCACTTTAGCAACATCTCCATTGGCAGCAGCCTTAACCAATTCCTCATTGAGATCTCCAGATTCTTGGGTCTCAAATAGTTTCTTCAATAGTTGGGACAATCTCTCTATAGTTATTAAACAAAGAACAATTAAGATTACAACTCTAATCAAGAACAGAACAATAACAGCGAAATTTGTCATGTTTCTAAAGGCATATGCAAAATAATATGCAAACCACCATAAAATAGCAGCTGTAAATTATTATTCAGTTCTGAGTAAGCGCTGCACTCCAATACCCTTTAGACAGTTGAGACTGTCACTTCAGACAACTTCAAAACCAAGTTGATTGAATCACAAATAGCTTGTCTGCCACAAAATAGAAGGGCTGGGATGAGGTAAAAACATTAATTTACATATTCATAGAACAGGCTTTTTAGTCTTCCAGCTTAACTCAGGGTACATCAGGCCCTCTTATGACCTGAAACACTAAGTCATATTGTTCTTCTAACTAGTTTTATGGCAACTGACTTCATCTTTTTGAAGTTGTCTTTCATCTTCTCTCTCTTTGCCTCTCCGGGGAAATGTCTAAAAAACTATGTAGAAGGTTTCTTGGCATTAAAGCAAATAAGAGGAAAAAACAGCTAGCCGTAACCAAAAAGAGTAAAAACATTCCAGTTTAATTCATCTGTGGAACAGCCAAGAGAATATAAAACACACTGGATGGTCTTTCTGTTCAGATGAACAAGAGCAGCTTGCTGAGACCTGAAATGTGATTACACAGACAAAAAATCCCGCTGTAATTAGTCAAAGGATGCCTGACTAAATTTTAAGACAGAAATTTTAAGGAAAGAATATTATCCTGAATAACTGCTCGAAACAGATCCCTCACTTACATTTGCTATCCCACACCACCTATTGAGCAGAGTCTGCTTGCTACAGCCAACAACTCTCTCTTAATGTCTCAGTTCCTAATGTCCCTTCCAATCATCTTCAAAGCCCTTAGAGCAGACCTCCAAAGACACAGCTGCACTGCAGCCAAACAGAAGGCCAAACTCACTTTGGAGTTTTTGCACCTCACCAAGATAACAACCACCACCATCTCAATACTGACGGCAAGTTTTTTCTCGTATAATTGTCAAAGGTATCAAGTCAATTAGCCATGCTCCAAGTCTGAGTATTATTAACCTTGCATACAGACTATGTACTAGCACTTAACATTTTTTTAATTGACATGAATACTTGCCATATATATTTTACTGGTTATTCTTCAAACTTACCACCAGATGCATTACTTATAGCAGATCCTGCTGATGCCACCTTTGAGACAGCTGCTGGATTATAGGTCCAAGAGGTCCCACAAACCTCTACCTTTAAGTCACTGTCTGAATAGATCTGCTGGACCCGACCAACTTTACCTAAAGTCTGCATTAAAGAAAAGGTCAAATGCAAATCATACTAAAAATAGAATATTTAGGAAGCTGAATGTTTAATAATAATTAACATGTTTTAGCAAGCCCATTATTTAATAGTACAGTCACTATAACCTTTAGATAAGTTTGATGAGGCTAAGAAGATTACTACATCTGAGCAAGTACTACACCACATATGATGAAAAACATTTTCTCTAACTTAGAAGAAAAACACAACCTCAGATATTGTTACCAACCATAACTAGAAATTTTATACAGGTTTTACAACCCTACGAATCCAAACATACAACTACTCACCGGAAGCATTGCTTCAGCCCACTCTCCATGACCTCTCTGAAGAAGCTTGATTCGCTCTAGGTCATAACATACTTGAACAAGGTCACCCACTTGAAATTGAGAGGTACCTCCTTCTGCACCTTGAGCAGCATCTCCACTTCGGACAACATTGGCTTTTGTGAGAACAGCTGGATTAAACGTCCACCTAAATAATGAATAATTTAAAGTAGATTTCAAAAGTGAAGTATGCTTTAAAATTATCTGTTGGACAAGGTTTTGCTTGTACGCCTACAAACTTTCTGCAATTGGATACTGCAGTTTATTTGTTGTTACCAATTTTTTTTATGAACTTGTCTGTGGCTCATTAGATTAATACTTCCAGGGTAATCTTCAGAGGTGTACATTTGAAAAAGCAATGAAGAAATATCCAGCCTAACAAGAAGTAAGCTGACAGCAATATAATAGTCCTGAAAGTAACTATACAGCTCATTTATTCCTCCAGGCAGAGAAGGAAACAAGTCTGGTTAAAAAGGGTAAGATCCAAGCTGTCTGACAAAGGATTGGACTGTCAGGAAACAACATGGGAAGTTCATGGAATTTCATCCGCTTTCCCTGGGATCAAAAACTGCAACATTATAAAAGTACTCTTTGATTAAATGGATACCCTAGATATGCCTTACTTTTTAATAAAACTATCTTGATTTATGCTATGAATTGTACTGCTTTGGAGACATGTATCTGGTTTTACATTGAGTTATATTCTAATACATAATACCATGATCTTTCCCTCATGTGCCATTTGGTCTGGGATTGATTTCCATTCAGCTATCTGATCTAGTTGAGAAGCACCAGATTATCCCTACAAAGGGTAAGGGATAAGTAAGGGAGAAAACCACAGCTCCTTTCACTGGCTTTGGCAGCCATGACCATCAGAAAAAAAGCCACTTGCACTCCTTCAGTTTGTGTTAGCTGGGAAAACAGCTTTGTTTTGCATTACTTTGCAATATTAAGAAACAGTATCTTGAGGGAAAGCCTGATTGAATAATGCAGTTAATCCTTTCTGGACAAAATGAAAAAGTCAGTCTCCAGGTACAGCTGAAGTGATATTCCATTCATCATCTGCTTTTTAAAGATAAGCCTAATACTTGAGAGCAAGAAAACACTAAACCCTCTGGGCATACCAGCCCAGATGCAGTTGCAGAGCTGGGTTGAATCCTGTTAGCATGGATGCAGCTCACATTTCAAACCTAAACTGCTTGCAGGGAGTAGTTTTGGCAAACACTTCCCCAACAATTCCCATTCTTGGTCCCTGTTTACATAAACTAACATACCTTTGAATAAGAATACAACACGAGATATAGATCATGACAAGGTCACTGTATATTAAACAACATTGTGCGAAGGACCAGATATTTCCTCACACAAACATAACGTGCCGTTTAGGTCAGCAGTCGTAACTGGCTTAAAGATGGCTGCTCCACATGGCACTCTGAACCCTCTCCTGCCTGCCTCCGCTGCCAAAAAACAACTCTAATTCCATGAGGGGGCAGCTGCTGCTAGAGAAGGGCAGTGGAGGGAACAGGGCAACAATGTTGCAAACCGCAAGCCTGCAGTGGCGGGAAAAAACCCCCATCTGATTGGCTGAGAAGCCTAGAAATAAGAAACCGGCCAATTGGGAGCAAAGGAGACCTATAAAGAGACAGCGTGAGTGCCGCTTTTGGGGTGTGCTTTTGCACACACACTGGATCTGCTGCTGCTGCTTTTGGGGGGTTACCTGTGCTTTCGGAGTGCCTGCCTGAGGTCCCCGGCTCCTGGCTCACTCCTGCTATCCCCAGCTCATCCCTGCAGCCTGGCTCCTGCTTCACCTGCAGTCCCGGCTAATCATTGCAGATCCATGCTTGACCCGGCTCATCCCACCTTGCCCGCGGCTTTTCCTGCCAGCTTGCCTGCCATCCTGCCAGCTTGCCCGAGGTCCTGCCAGCCTGTCTGCAGTACGTGCCTGCTGCTACCCACCTGCGGAACCTGCCTGCTGCTGAGCAGGTGCGGTGAGACTTCTTCCTGCCACCCGTGGTTCTAAAACCGGGTTGCAGGGGAAGTCATCCGCAGCTACTACGTAAGTACCTAGAGCATCTCAGGAACAAAGTAAGAAATTGTATTTTTCGTATAATTCTCTCCCTAAGGTGTTCCTGTCTCACTTACTTGCACACAAACCACGACCCTTTATGGGACAAGCGTCAGGCATATCCCTCCTTCCTCCTCCCCTCATAGGTACTTAATCTGGGTGTGTAAATAAGGTGTACCTATATATTAGTATTAAGGCATATGTAAGTTCTTGGTATTTGGTGTTCAAAAGATATTTCACAGCTCCTATGAGTTTTAATTACCCTTTTTGAACCTCCTGCCCCAAATTGTTTTATTTTTCCCTTCAATAAACCATGTATTTGTAAATTCTAATTGGGGATTGGCTGCTATAATTGGAAACACTAGTGAGCACTGAACAAGTGTCTCACCCAAAAAGTCAGTGCCGAAGCCACTGCTCCTCTGTGAGAGGTAAGAGCCGCATGCGGACCTTTCGGCAGATCCTGATAAGCTAAATTCACTCAAAAAAAGAGATATAATAGGTCATGGATCACGACAGATTGTCACCTGTCCTCTTGACCCATTCTTCTGAAAACCTGAAATGCATTACTATTACCATTCCTCTTGAAACTGTGGGATACTTTGCAACTATTGCTTAAAACAGTACATTTTGGAAATAAGATAGTTCAGAAAATCATTCTTTACTTTGAACTCAAATTTTCACCAAGTGAGAGAGGCAACAAACTCCCTTTGCCCACTAAACCATCTTCAAAGGTACACGCTGTAGAAGGAATATAAAAATTCTCAACAAAATCTTAACACAAAGGGAGAACAAAAAGTTCCTTCACCAAGTGATTGCAAGTGCTGAAAGCAAAGGAAGTTTGAGACTTGATTATGAAGGCTATATAGCAAACCTGTTGCCACTTGGATATTGTACTACAATGTCATGATCTTCATCAATGCCACAAACTGTTCCAGTTGTTGTTAAAGTTTCAAACATGCCATCGGTCCATCCTCCATGACCATGCTGCAAAGACTGTACAATTTCCAAATCAAGGTCAATGTTTACAAGGTCACCTATTTGCAGTCCACCGGGATTTCTGTTCCCATTTTGCTCACCTGAAATGGAGTAAGAAGAAAATGTGTACGTGACCACACTAATTTCCCAAACAATTTCAGTAAGTTAATTTCTGAAATTCAACATCTCTGCAACTGTGGTGGTCAATAAGTAAAAAGGAGCGAACAGGTAAAAAAAACTTTGAAGCTTAACTCTTCAGAAAAGCTACTGATATGGAACTCAATAGATAAAAAACTTAGAAAACATCCCAGAGACAGCCCTGTTAAGAGAGGAAAGTCTAAGAAAGGAAGAGATATAAAACAAAAAATTGTAGAAGCATTAATTGGAAGAAGTAATGTCTAGAGACCATCTGGTCTAATATCCCACACAAAGTTTAGCCAGCAACCAGCTGAAGTCAGCTGTGGCTATAAAGTCCTGAAAGACCTCAAGAACAGAGGTCCATAAGCTCTCCAAGTAACTTTTTCCAGTGCTGCAATACAGAGCTGTAGGTCTAACTGAAAATTTCTTCAGTACCTGAACACATCGAGTCACTTAAGGTGGCCACTGTAATTTGGTTTTTTATGCCATTTGCCACTACTGAAATTTTGGTGCCATCACTTTCAATTACCCTCCAAGTGCTATCTCTAAACACCCTTCTTATCAGACTAAATAAATTCTTCACTTCTGAATAAAGCTCCACCTTCAATCACACCCCCCTACGGACTTGCTATCGCCTGCAAATTGTCTGGGATAGTAGTCCTTGTCATCATCAAGGCCACAAGATATGGTACTGAAAAAAAATCAGTCCCAATATTTTGCCCCAGCTACAAATTACTTTGTATTAATTAGGTCCCTGCTGAAGTATTATTTGCCCTCTCCTTCAAATACTGCAAAGCTTAAAAAATAACTTCCTAGGTTTATTGCAAGCTTGTATTTAAATTCACAGCACAAAAGTATCTGAACAATGTTCAGAAGACAAATTAAAGGGACAGATGTTCTCACAAAGACTAAGACTGAGAAGATAGAGTGTAATGTGGCAAGAATGATGAACTGAGTTCATTGTTATCCATTAAGTGCAATTTAATATAGTGGAAGAATTTAACAGAGAACAGTATCCTAGTATCTTTAGTAATTAATATTCATGCATTCAAATACAGTATCACCCTAACAATAAGCTACATGCAGAATACACAGCCCTGTACTTTTAAAGCAAGAACAAAAAGAAAGACATGTTCATAAGAACCTAAGTTTACCTCTGTAATACAGAACCAGTAAGATCCTATTACTACTTTACTATTTTTATTCACATCAGACTAAAAGGACCAAAGTAATTTTAAGCACAGAAGAAAGACAAAGATCAGAGTGCCTTGGCTTTTTACTTTCAAACAATTCATCAACTTGACAGTAAATAGCTAAGTGAATTCTTGGGACACTGTTTTCCTAAACAAAACAGACCTTTACTGTTTTCAACTTTTCACAAAGACTGTCAAAAAAAGAAGTGCTTGCTGGTCACACTTCAAGTACTTGTGCAAGGAACTAGATTAAGACTAGTAAACAGAGAATTCTTACCACTTTAGAAAAGCTAGTTTTATCAGGTTTTATAAGTTTTTTTTGCACTGAAGTATACAAAACTCATGAATAAAAGCAAAATTTTATGTAGTGTCCAGCTTTACTACCAGGTGTTTTGTCAGGGAAACACACAATAATTAAGAACTTTGGGTCAAATAGTCTGTAAACTTAATCCAAACTTGCTCGTGTTTCAAAAACCAAAACAACTGGCAGGTTGTGTTTTTTTTAATATAATCTGCACATGTCTGCAGCCCAAATAAGACACTAGAATAAATCAGTACAACAGCTGATATGGAAAATCTCAGCCAAGATTGCACAACATACACTACCATTAGTATAAAATAACAGGTTAAGTGCTATGTTGAGATGACTCCCGTTTATGGCCATGTACATGTTACTTCACCGAACGTCTCTGAATATTTACGACAGTCTAAGGCTTCACAGTTATCTGTGGTTTTAACTCTTCACTGAGCCAGACATGTGACTCAAGGTGTTAGTCAACACTTTACAGCTCCCTTACCATCCACTTGCCACACTGATATCAAACACGTTTAGAAAAGTATCACAATTTATCATTAATGCATAGAAATGCTACCATATACATTTCACTAGTAAGGACAGTCATTTTAGATGACATTTACAAAGGAATGAGAAATCTAGACCACATATAATTAACACACATCAAGACAAATTTAGTTTACCTTCAACTCACCTAATACAGGACAATGGTCCCTATAGAAAGAGCCACCTTTTGCATCTTGGACACATTTCAGGTCAGACTATGGAAAGACATGGAGACAACTTTAGTCCTCACTGATTCTCCAGGTTAACATAAGTCAGTAAAACTAGAGCTCAGTTAAGAAAGGCTGAAAATTATGTGTACAAAAGGCACATCTCATTATTTCATTACTGATGCATATTATTTCAAATACTTTCCAATCTACCAGCCTGAACATTCTCAAGTTTTTTAATAACTTTTGCCAATATAAAAGGCTATAAAGAATGAGACATTTTTAAAAGTATTAAAATAACACAAAGTTCCTTTGCATTGTTCTATAAAGTTATCTTTCCTTTTAAAAGAAGTTTGTGAACACAAACAATGAAATAAAAAAAACCTGAAGTATCTGCAGACAGTGCTAGAGGCTACAGCCTTTCTTGTACCAATCATTTAATGCCTAACAGTGCTGCCCCTCCTCCCAACCCTTTTTGACAGATACATGTTGAAGAAAACCTGGCACTCAAATTCTGTAAAATTAAGACTTTCCAATTTAAAAAAAGAACACAAGGTTATTACTTTAAAAAAAAAAAAAAAAAAAAACAAACACCCCTTTGCTGAGCTAAACATGTTCTTTTTAAAGAGAAAAGTTCTAAAGTTCATTCTCCAGAAAGACTATTTCATATTATCTGAGAAACAGAAGGTTCAAGTGTGATAACCAGCTCCTATTCATAAAGCCAGCAGAGTTCCTATAATTCTCCTTTCCTCTAGTTTTTCCCCTATGCATCCCTTAAAGCCAAATGGCTACCGTCTGCCATTGCTCATTATTGAACAATTCCTACTGAACAAAGGGCATTTTGTGTGCACGATGGGAAGGAGACAGGAAACCATTTGCAAAATATGGCAGAATATTCTATGGGATAGGGGAGGAAACAGTAAACATGTTCTTTTTAAAGAGAAAAGTTCTAAAGTTCATTCTCCAGAAAGACTATTTCATATTATCTGAGAAACAGAAGGTTCAAGTGTGATAACCAGCTCCTATTCATAAAGCCAGCAGAGTTCCTATAATTCTCCTTTCCTCTAGTTTTTCCCCTGTGCATCCCTTAAAGCCAAATGGCTACCGTCTGCCATTGCTCATTATTGAACAATTCCTACTGAACAAAGGGCATTTTGTGTGCACGATGGGAAGGAGACAGGAAACCATTTGCAAAATATGGCAGAATATTCTATGGGATAGGGGAGGAAACAGAGGACAGGTGGTGGTTCTGATATAATCAAACAGAACTAAACAAATACTTCAACAATTATTTTTCTTTCACCCAAGATTTATTGATAGGCGGTGCTGCTGCAAAAGGATTAAAGTGAAAATTCTCAAGTTTGAATGATCGTCATAGTGACACACACAACACTTCCTTCAGTGACCTGTAACTGCTAGGCTGCCAGAAACAATACCAAATTCAGCATGTATCCTGATCTACAAAGAATGTACCACCACTTTTTGAAAAAGTTATGAAAACAGCCAGATGAAAATAATGGGATTTGCCGCTCTCCAAATCCTATGAGAAATCAGAGTTTGTTCAGCCCAGCAGCAGCAGGCCTGTGACAAAGTGCTGCCACCCGGTGGGCTGCTGCCACCCAGGTGCTGGCTTTAACTCTACCGAAGACAAAGGGGCTGTGCTGACCATCCCCAGATGGCAAGCTCATTCATTCCCTCAGACCAACAGAGATTTAACACGCCCGGGAGGCACTTGTCTCAGCCACTCAATACAAACTCTTCGCATCACGCAGCAACCAGCTGCCTGCGCAGGAGCCAGGAAGGGGTATGCAAACAAGGGCTGTTTTCACATTCTTCAGAATATAAGAATGGAGCGTGGGAGGGTCCTAAGTGGTTCTCCTCCCAGCCAGGCAATAGCTGGGTAAAATGTCGCTTGGGTTACAGCAGGTGTTAACATACAGGGCAGACTAACGGCTAAAAGCTAGCAGAAGAAATAAAATATTCTCTACAAGGCTAACTACTATCTTGCAGCAGATGATTAGGAAGTTAAAATACCTTAAATTTTATACAAAAATAAACTAACCCAGCAACCTACAAATCTGCACTCTTTTTTACACTGCCTGTGCTGTGCCCTGCACATAGTTTATTTCTGGAGTGTAATTATATATTCGGTTGTAAAACTAAGTAGTAGCTTGATGTTGAACCTCAGCTTCACATCTGTCTTCCTTTCACAGTAAAATCAATGTTAAATTACTAAGGAGTGAAAAAAGAGTCTGATCTAAGTATCACAGAAAAGCAATGTAACATTTTATTTACATAAGCCTTCACCAAAAAAAAATTGAGGACTGAAAACACACAGGAAGACCAGGCATTTGAGAGAGATTAAGGTAGTAAGAAACTAACTTGCATATGCTTTATATACAGCAAAGAGCACTTCAGCAATTCTGCATACAGCACTACTAACAAAAGTAACATCAACATGATAAAGGCCTGCAGATATCTCAAAAAACTTAGGAAAACCTCAAAAAGATCCTGCAGTTTTAAGACGGGGAACTACTTAGCTGTACATCACTACTACAAAAGCTGGGTAAGCAACTATAATCCCACTTCTAGCACTCAGCTACTGCAATTATCAGAAAAGGAAAACAAGCTTTCTTCTACTTAAGCAGTTTAAATAAAAAATCGAGGGTAGTATTGAGCTGCTGGTCCACCTTCCCTGGGCATGAAACGAGGCCTCTCTAGCGAGGAGGGAGCACAAACAGTGCTCAGTCGGACCAGGCTGCCAGTGGATTCCTGCAGCCAGCCTCCTGCTGTACCACGCTTCCCAGAACCCCACCGACATTTTTACAAGTTGTATGAGTCTCCCTAGGTCTTGCAAAAAGATTGAAACTGAAGATCATTTGGAGAGGAAACACACAAGTGCAAAAGGAAATGTACTACAACACAAGGGATGTTAAAATGCAAGTTTCAGGCTCTCCTTGATACTCTGCACAGAAAAAGAAGTAGCAACTGTGAGGCTGGGTGTAAATAGCTGGAGGAGACAAATCTGCAGAGATGAAAATAAAACAGGGTTTTTTATACACTAACTTGGTGGAGAAATCATTCAATGAATCCTGAAGAGGATTCTTTCAAGAAACATAAAAACAAGCTGTAGATTTTCTGGAATATGTGTATAGTCAGAGAAGATATGGAAGCCCCAATTAAGCAGAAAAAGAACAGCACAAGCACAAAACATTGCACTTTGGTCTTCTAGCATCTACATTCTGACTTGCTGAAAAACTCTTTGAATTCCAGCTGTATGTGACTGGATTACATAAAGACCATGATCTGCTGAGCCAGATGGGAAATCCAGAAAATGTAAAAGTTTACTCTGACTTACTGTTCAATTATACCACTGAAAAAAACAGCAGCAATTCCATCATCATAAAAACTTCATGGAATGAAAAAATGTACATTATAACAAAGTCAGCAGTGATGGCAGACGGTGTAAAAGCACCATCATCCCTGACCTTGAAAAGGAAAACAATGCTGAAGGAGCAGCTGCCTACCAGAGTAACTCTTTTAAGTTATTCCAATCGATATGGAACGTCATCCATCAAAACTAAGAAGGAATCTACACACTTGGTAAGGAAGCTAGATGTGCCACTAAGAAAAAGAACGTTTGATGCACTGAAATAGCATCTAACATCAGCAGTAAATATCTACAGATAAATTAATATTGACCTTACAGATCTACCAG